TCGCCGGCCCAGCCTGCAGTGACTTTGTCGCCGGCCCAGCCTGCAGTGACTTTGTCGCCGGCCCAGCCTGCAGAGCTCCTCCTCTGCCGCAGGCGCCGGCCTCCAGAGGCCCGTCGCCTCCTCTTCTGCCGCAGGCGCCGGCCTCCAAGGGCCCGTCGCCTCCTCTTCTGCCGCAGGCGCCGGCCTCCAAGGGCCCGTCGCCTCCTCTTCTGCCGCAGGCGCCGGCCTCCAAGGGCCCGTCGCCTCATCTGCCTCAGGCGCCGGCACCCGGACTCTGCCGTTCCCTGCCGCCTCTCCATCGTCCTCTGGGCCCTCCCTCCGGTGCCCCCTCCCCCCGCCCTACTCCTGGTTCCTGTGGGCGTCTGGGATCCACCCTTTGAGGGGGGGGGGGTACTGTCACACCCTGTCCTGTCTTCTCCTAGGTTGTAGTCTGTGTCTCCGTTAATTTCTCCCACCTGCCTCTTGTTTCCCAATCACCATAGCTCCTGTTCCTCGTGTATTTAAACCCCTGCTGTTCTGTGTTCCTTGTGGTGTCATTGTTCCAGTGTCAGCGTGCGTCTTTACTTAATAAACCTGTGGAATTCATCCTACCTGTCTGCCTGCTTCCTCCCCGGTCTGGATCCTCGCCTTTGTTCCGCTTCACTCCGCGCACGTCGTGACACTAATCAAGAGAATATCAGAATATTCTGACTGGATGTGGACCAGGCGTGGTGCCATAGTCATAATTAAACTCATAAATGAATCGGATTATTCAGAGCTCGCGCTGGACATGTTCGGTTAAAAAAGTCATGATTGTTTTCCTTGTCATGTTCATAATAGATACAAATCATATTCATTAATATTAAGCCCAACCTAATGTTTTAAGTGGGCTGGTACGCACCGATAAGCAGACAGGTGTTACCTCTCAGCTCACCAGGACTGTTTTTCAAGGGTATGCGAACCGGAAGTTTCTCCGGTTATTTCCTGGTCAAATTCTCAGACATTAAAAAAAATTAAAAACTTAGAATTAAAACAAGGCATCCAGCTCCCTCTGCAGCGATCCACGATCATTTTTCACTAAAGGACGCATTCTCTCCAAATGCGCAAAAGGCGCATCACTGCCGCAAGGCTGGCCGCGCATGCAGCGCGGCCAGCCCAGGCACGTTCCGACACCGTGCACGTTGCAGTAATTGACAACATTTCTGCAGGAGAGATGGCATCCAAACGGAGATCGGGAGTTAGCAAAGAAGTCAAAACAAGAGAAGGCGTGTTTCAGTCGAGTGTGTGTGTGTGTGTGTGTGTGTGTGTGTGTGTGTGTGTGTGTGTGTGTGTGTGTGTGTGTGTGTGTGTGTGTGTGTGTAAGGTTGTGAAAGAGTAAGGATGACACAGGCTTATTTTAGATTTATCTGTGTAAATGTTTGCCTAAAACGTGTTTATTTCCATGATTATGGAATTAAAATGTTTCATTGATCTGGTTTTCATATCATCTTTCCTGGAAAATGGATCATAAGTATAGGAAGATAGTGGATGGCAGCATTAACTTGAGTGACTCAAAACTCCTTTAATTAAAAAAAGTCTTAAAAGGAAGGAACCTGCGTGGATGGATGTGCTCTCGAGGTGTGATAAGGTTGTTGAAGAAATAATTGCAATTCTCTGTATTGAAGCTTGGACTTGACTCCATTTTCCAGTCTGCCTGCCAGGATTGTAGAGCAGCAGGTGGATGCAGGGAGATATAGACATGGAAATTAATTAAAATTGTCCTCCTATTCTCATTTCATGCGAACATAGTTATTGCTCTAGATCAGCGGGATGAGTGGCACAAAGCTGGGAGGAGAAACAAGTGTTAAAGGTTAACATAAGAGGAGACAAATATTGGAAAAGACTAGGGAGAATGGTGGACAGCTTGAGGGATGATAAAGGTCAAACACTGATAAAAAAAACCTGGTCTCTCTGCTAAAATGCTACAGTGTGTGTGTGTGTGTGTGTGTGTGTGTGTGTGTGTGTGTGTGTGTGTACAGCAGGCATCAGCCATATTTTGTGAAGGTGAGGGGAGACATCTTTCCTCAAATCCTAGCCATGAGTCCTCTGACAAAGACAAGTTTTAGTTCTCCGCCGTTAGTGCCGTATTTTGCACCAAACTGAGTGAATGATGAGCTCATACAGCGACTGAATCTTTTGAAGCAAATGTAATTATCTTTACCTTACGAAAGCGTACTGTGATCAGTGAGCTGCTGCTCTCTGCTCTGGCACCACATGCATGCAGGTTAATTACCATGAAACCTCCATCTGATCCAAACTAGCACCCAGAAGGGAACCAAGGCAGAACCGATTTTTCGTTAAGCTTTCAAAACAGGAAAGATGCTGCAGGAGATTCAGGATGTTTGAATTATGGAATTGTTTATAGTTTTGTTAATATTTTTGTGTTTTCTTCTTATCTTACTGTAATATATTTTCTCTGCGATGTCATCTATATGAAGTCTAAAAACTGTAACCATCATATCTTAAATTGGCATTCTTTCTTGATTTGGGAAAATACATTTTAAACTGAGGAGGAACTCATTCGTATCAGCCGTGTGAATAGGGCTGTGTCTCACGTAACTATCTTGTCTGCCTGAAAATTAATCCTTAATTTTACTTTTGATTTAAACTTTAAATTTCCCTCTAATGCCCTCATATGAATGTTTTTTTAATCATTACTGGTGTGAGCATCCTCAGTTGTCACAGAACACTGCACAAAACACAGAAAACAGACATTATGGCCATGAATCTCCAGGTGTGTGTGTGTGTGTGTGTGTGTGTGTGTGTGTGTGTGTGTGTGTGTGTGTGTGTGTGTGTGTGTGTGAGAGTGTGTGTGTGTGTGTGTGTGTGTGTGTGTGTGTGAGAGAGAGAGAGAGAGAGAGAGAGAGAGAGAGAGCTTTCACTGGGTTCTTAATCAGGGTGTCACACTCAGTTTCGATTAGGTACAGCAGGCAAGGCTCTCCAGCTGGCTGCTTCTGAACAACACCCTCTAAAAAGCAGATAATGCTTCCACTCTCACAGGCTCAAAGAAAATGAACAACTCTGCCGCTCACATTTTCTTTCTTTTTTTTTAGCACATCAGACATCCAAATCAAATCGATGCAGAGAGAAAATTAAACTTCAAACTAAGAGGAAGGTGAGAACAGCCTCCGGTAGAAGACGTGTCTCACGTGAAAAAGCTAAACAGGACCATCTAATGTGCGTTGCAACAAATATGATTCTGTCCGCTGGGCCTCCAAATGTCACAAACCATTTTTAAAGATCATTAAACAAACACACACACACACACACACACACACACACACACACACACACACACACACACACACACACACACAGTGACAATATGTGATGCTCACACTTCATTCCACACGTCAAAAAGCATTTCTCTCATTGTTTCCCATTAATTGACTAATTTTTCTTTGTTTTCATCTCCTGCCAGTGAGGCCAGATTTATCTGCAGGCTCTTAGCCCTTCTATCGGGGACAATACAAGGAACAGAAGAAGAAAAGTAATGAGGACAAATATGTGCATGCATTTCTGTTCCTGTGTGCCTTTATAAATAAAACTCAACAAAATCCTAATCTCTGTGTGCCAGCTGCTTTCGTCCAGCGAAGGTGGGCAAATGATGTGCAGGAACACCCCTTTTACCAGAGGAGAGCGGGTCGCTGTACAGGTGCTCCATTGTCTTCCCAGTATGATGATATTCATAAATATGATGCAGCAGCAGACACAATGGATGCACTGTGCACCTGCCCACCCACGCACAATCACATCACACAATCAGAGCAGTTTTGAACTGAGTAATGAAAGAGTGGTGACAGGAGAAAATGCACAAATGAACATTGTTTTAGTTTTCAGACATCCAGAAAATCTTACATATTGTGATCTAAATACACTCAATAAGCTCACATTCTACTTTGGGCCTTTAGTTCTTCCTTTGAGTTCAGTTTGGTGTTCGTCACAAGATGTTTAATACGGACGTAGTTTTAAATACTTGAAAAGTTCATTTGCAAATACATATCACTCTGTTTTTATACATTTTAGAAAAATCCCTTTTTTATTATTATTTATTCATGATGAGATTGGTCAAAATTTGGTCATTTTGATCAAAAATGGCTTTTCTCTGTTTTTGCAAAGGAGCTCTTCACCTTTTATGAAAGTGCAGATTTTTTAATTTCAAAATGATAATTCTCAGTGAGACAAAAACAAATAAATACTTGATATTCCAATTTAAAAACCCAAATATTTTACAATAGCAGCTGGTATAAACTCTTTATGAGTGTCAATTTACAGACATTTGCAGCATCCTATTGAAAATAATAATAATAACAACAATAATAATAATAATAATAATAATAATAATAATAATAATAATAATAATAAATAAATAAATAACATAGACATGAACATTAGCTTTAACATGAACTCACACCAACACTAAACTTCAGTTCTTTCAAAAAGGAGAAATTACCACAACCAAACCCCATTGCAGACTTGTAATATCAGTGCAGCCAAAAACTTTAAGGGCCCTTTACTCAGGTGAGCAAAATGAAGGTTAGAGTCCTCACACACAGCAGAATCACCACGTCTGTAACACTTCTCCACTTCCTGCCTCTTGGAGCAGAGAATCAGGCTCAGCTGGGCTGAGGCAGGTGTCAGGAACCTCCTCTGAGGTGAATCCACTCCGTGTCGCTTCCTCTCGCCTGAGGAGCTATGGTAGCACCCATTACCTGCACATTCTGCTCAGCCCTGCATCCTTCTGGCCAATCAGGAATCAAGACAGTACACAATAAACAACGACAAAATAAAGGTCTAGTCTCTCCTGAAACCAGCTTTGTGTTGATAGACAAAATAAATCAGCCAGATACAAAGATGAAAGTCGTACACAAGCACAAGGAAACATGCAAAAGCAAATTAAAGCCCAATGAAGTGCATCAGAGTTCATTTTTAACCCAAAGTAAATTCCCACCAACACCAAAGACTGATGCATGACCAAACAGTTCAATACTGAGATGTTTTATTCAAAACCATAAATCTGAACATCACGTGGCTGTTATAAAAAAAAAGACATCAAGGAATTCCTGAAGTGAGCAGGATTTATCCTCTGGTGATCATAAATGTCGGGACCAAATGTCGTGACAATCCATCTCGCAGCCTGTGAGAAATTCCACCATGGTCCAAAAACCGTCACTGGAAAATAAAAACCTGGTTGTGTTGGCTGTAAGATGATTAAAAAGAATCTTGTATTTAGATGTAGATGTTTGCAGGATTTTTGTTGCTGCTTGATACAAAAATACAACATCCATGCGTCCATCCATGCAGTTGTAGCCTCTGGGAATCTACAGGTCACCTCTTCAGTATCGGGTCATTTGGAGACATAAGTCTTAAGCTTGGTTTATGCTTGACGCATTCACTTTCCGCTTGGTGATGTGGCTCGCAGATGGAACGCGCTTCACAACTCGCAGCGTTTATGGTTTGTGTGGCTCGTCTCTGCGGTGAGCCAATATTCTCCCAAACTGAACGGGGCAGCATGGAGCTCTACGGCATGCATCCAACACTACACCATAGTAGAAGTAGAAATTGCTGTTTACAACATGGCATTTCAGCATTATTAACAGCGTCCTCGTCTTTTCCGACAGTGCGAGCTATTTCTCTCCAAGAATTATTTACAACATGTTGATCACGGTGATCTCTGAGAGCTGAATCATACAAATGTCTGTATTTACGAACCTCTGCCATACTAGTTCTTGCCGGTCCGCCATGTTTTTCCACGTCCGTCCGTCCGCGTGGTTAAAGAAATTTTCCGAGGTGTGCGTTGCGGAAATTCTGGGCCGTGCGGAGGCCTGGTGGAGGGGCGTGGTTGTTAAAATGACTCAAAATGACGCTACTTTTCCGCGCGGAGCCGTGCGGACCTCGCGGACGCGACAAGCATAAACCAACCTTTAACTGGTGCTTAAATCAGATACTTTTGCTTGGCCAAGGTTCCTCCAAGCTCACTCTTATCTAAGACTGGTTTTTATTCACAGCACAAGATGGATGAACTTTCAAAATTGAATCATATAATGAACAAGATGAGTAAATAATCATATGGTTGAATGAACAATAATGGTTGAAGAATAATAACAATGTTTTGATTTATCTGTGCTTAAATTACTGAGGTTGAAATGAATATTATTATGTTATGATCAGTAAAGTCAGTTTTAACAAGTGAATCACTATCTGCTGACAGCTCACACACTCAGACATGTGACGATGACAAGGTTAAGCTAATATCCTGACACATTGCTTTCTGTTCCACCAATCCGAACTCCTGTATCTGATGCGAGTTGTGTTTTCCGAGGTTTGTTGGTAAAACCCTTTTTACATGTCAAATTCCGATTTGTTAGTAAATCAAAATATGACGATTATTAAAACAGGACTCACTTCACCGTGAGTCAGTTCTTGTGAATTGTTGAGAAAGTTTCAGACCGGCCATCCGGAGCAAAACCTCTTTAACCCAAGTCAGTGCAGCTGGATCTGCTGCAGGAGGATCCAGATGTGGATGGAGGGCTGGAGCAGACCCGTGGCTGGACGTTTCTGGTCAGAGGAACATCATACAGGACGGTCTGTAGAGAGAGCTTTGGGACACTTCCTCTCACTGTCCACTCCATCGTCCATCTACAGGGACTGCTGGACTGGCTCAGACGACGGCTGTTACATCTCTAAGACATATTCAGAAATATGAAATGAGGAGATGGTTTATGGATCCACTGGTATAACAATTGTGACTCTTCAGCAAATAAAACCACAGTGTTGCTTTTAATAGAGGTTCCTACATAAATGACTTACCTGTTAACAGTAGTGGTGGTTTGCTGGTACCTCCAGGACAGAGCACCACTGACCTCCTCCACACACATCTTCCTCAGGCTCATCCTCCAGGCCCACAACTTCACCGGCACAGATGCAGATGTGCAGAATAGTGCATGCTGACCTGTAATAGATTCAAAAAGATTTTTTTTAATTGAAAAATGTTAAACAAACATAACCTGCAGTACATTGGTTCTGTTCAGTTTAAAGAAAAGCAGCAGGGAATAGTTAAATAAAAACTACAGAGAATTTACATTTTTAAGACAGATCTAATCATTATTAGGCTTAAGTTGAATAAACAAATGTACACTGAAATGCTTCAATGCTATTTTAATAAAAAGCCTGTTTTTTTAAAGCATTTTACCCTCATTTGATTCAAAGTAAGAAACTGCAGCAGGCTGGATGTTTTCTCTCTACCTTGTTCACTAGAAGAAAGGGAGAAGGACATTTTTTGAGGAGGCAAGCAGCTCTTAGTCATATCGTTTAATATTGACTCGTGAGTGGCTGAGCCAGCTGGCATAACTGAGACTCACTCAGAGTCCAGTGCAGCGCAGCCACGTCATATGGGACAGGTGACATCTTACCCATTAGAATGGCTGATTAAAAATCAATGTAGAGCAGAGTTTTAACCTGAAGAGGGCGCAATATTAATGAGTTAGGCTGAAAATTTCTATTGTAAATAAGATGCACTAAAATGCCAAAATAGTGACTACTCACGTCCACAGCACTGTTAGACACTATTTTATACAGTTTATCAGCAAAAAAGTTGATTTAAGTGTTACTTTTAAAATCAGGCCCATCCCTGGGCAGCCCGGTGCTGCTGCAGCATTTAATTTATGTTCGTGAATAACATCTGCATAATAAATGATCTAAAAACATTTATTTTTATTTACCAGTTTTAAATATTTAATACTTGGTTAGTTAATTCATCTGGTTGATTAATGTTAGTTAGTCGTCTGATTGACTGAGCAGTGCAGAAATTTAAGAGTTGACAGATGGCTAAATTCACTCCTCAAAAACTGATTCAGGTTCATAATTTTTGTGCCTAAACTGACGTTATCAGTGTCATTTTAGAATGAAAATCAGATGAAATACGTCTAGACATCGGCCATGAAAAATGGCTGCACACATCGACATATCGGCATCAATATCTGCAATAAAAAAAAAACATCGGTTGACCTTTAGTTTTGAGTCACATTTGTTTTTTTGCATAAATAGTTATTTTTGTTATTTTATTCAGCCATAGATGGGATTTCTTGTTTTAAAACTCCCTACAGTTATATTTTTCATTAAATAAATAAAAAAAAAATGCAATACTTGATTTTTCATTTTGCACACTATCACATTTTTTATATGTGTGTCTTTTTAACAGATAACAAAATATGCTCCAACATGAACTAAAGAAATAACTAACATGATTATTGTCATTGCAAACATGCACAGCTGAATAATGCTTTGTTAGATGCTGAGACATTACTTCTTCTCCACATGTCTGCAGCAATATAGTCACAGATTGTTGCACAAGCAAGTGTGACAGATGTTCTGTTTTAAGCTCTGAAAGGAAACTTTTGCTTCGCAGAGAGAATGTCCTCGACCTTCATTTTACTTCTACAACATATTTGCTGAAACATGGGCACATGCGCCAGCGACACTTCAAAACACCCACACTTTAAATGTCATTGAGGTTGCCTCTAACTGGAGACTCGAGAGGTGAAACGTGATGCAAACACTTCTCTCTTACGGCTCTGCAAGTGATGAAATCTGCACACGTATCAGATAGCGCTCCTTTTCAGTGGTGGCCCCAGGAGAGTTGTAGATTTGATAGTCAAGTTTTAATTATCCTATAAAAAACCTCAGTGGGTGCAGGAGCTGTATCAGTTTCTAAGCTGCTGTTTCCTAATCACAGTAAGACGACTCCTGGTTCTCTGCAGGAGCCCTGGCCATTAAAGTCCACATTAAAAGGCAGCAGGCCGCCAGTCTGCCTCTCTCACCTCGTCTGAAACTAGCAAAGGCTTTAAATCTCTTGCTGCATTAGAGCCAAAAAAGTTCTAATTGAGCCAAAGAATACTCTTGTACCAGTTTATTAAGTCATTCATCATTTCTCTAAGAGCTGCCAAAGGTAGCAGAATTTTTGCTGCAAGCTATTAAAAAATGTACAATTTTGAGGGATTCCTTTTAGTAAAATTGTACGGACATTACAGCGGGAATGCTAAAGCTTGGACGGCCTTGTTATTCTTCATGATTTTCCTGCATAAATCGATGGTTGTTTTGATAAAAAATGTCAGTTGAATACATCGTATAGGAGACACACACCGAGTTATTTGTGAAGTGAAACAAAGTTTGTAGGATTTACAGAAAGTGTGCAGTAATTGTTTAAACAAGAAAGACCCTTGTTGCCTGCATGCTCACATGATTCCAAGATGTATTCAGATGCAGCCCATGTCTGTGGATGGATGGGCCCACTGTTTCCACTACCCTCTCAAAGGATTCAGGATCCAGGCAGCGGTACTGTCAGAAGAATTCTGGGTCTTCAAAGTGCATCTCTTAGAGTTGATTGGCATAAACTCCTTGCCTGGCCCTTCTTTGCAGCCACCCATACTTTTCTAACCTGGAAATGTTGGTGGCGGCGGAGCCTCATCAACAAAACAAGAAGAAGCATTTCTTCCATTTCCAGCTCTGTGTCTGTTTTGTTTATTTTGTGACATACAGAGAGGGGGCTGCCATCTTGGAATCATGTGAGCAGAGAACGTGCTTTGATTGGCCACTAGAATATGCCAGCTCAGCTGGCAGCTTATGTGGTGTGCACACGATGAGTTTCTACCCCTTGTGAGGCGAAAAATATTTAGATTTCACCTCGTGAGGCAGAAAACTCAGTGAAAATCAGGCACACACAGCGAGGTGTCTGCTGAGCTAACAGTCATTCGAGGCTGTTTGCTCTTGTGTACGGCAGGCTTTAAATAATCTTTCTTATAATTGGATTCACCTGTGTATGGAGGTCAAGGGTCACTTAGCTTACCAAACCAATTTTGAGTTCCAATAATTAGTTCTAAAGATTTTCCATCCATCTATCTGTTTTCAGCCGCTTATCCAGAGTCGGGTCGCGGGGGCAGCAGCCTAAGTTGAGACACCCAGACATCCCTCTCCCCAGCTACTTGGGCCAGCTCTTCCGGGGGAATCCCAAGGTGTTCCCTGGCCAGGTGAGAGACTTAGTCCCTCCAACGTGTCCTGGGTCTTTCCTTGGGTATTCTCCCAGTTGGACATGCCCGTAAAACCTCACTAGGGAGGCATCCAGGAGGCATCCTGACTAGATGCCCAAGCCACCTCAACTGGCTCCTCTCGACGTGGAGGAGCAGCGGGTCTACTCCGAGCCCCTCCTGGATGACCGAGCTTCTCACCCTATCTCTAAGGGAGAGCCCAGCCACCCTGCAGAGAAAACTCATTTTGGCCGCTTGTATCTGTGATCTCATTCTTTCGGTCTCTACCTAAAGCTCGTGACCATAGGTGAGGGTAGGAACGCAGATCCACCGGTAAGATCCACAGCTCAGTTCTCTCTTCACCACCACATCTAAAGGTTTGGAATCAACAAAAATTACAACAGTGTCCAAATTCATGCACCTGTCGAATTATTGCTCACTTTCTGTAAATCCTATAAAATTTGTTTCATTTCTCAAATATCACTGTGTGTGTCTCCTATATATTATATTTAACAGAAAATGTTTTCGTAACAAACAACGATTAATACAGGAAACCCACGAAGGCTGCGCAAACTTTTGCATCCCAGTGAATGTGTGCTTGCTTATTTCAGCTAATGTGAAGACTGATCATGGAATATTTCTAGGTAAAAACAATTTTGTTGAACTTTTAATTTCAAAAGTAAAACTGTGGTGGGAGGTACACCAAACACAAAAACACCCAATAAGCCTTGAAGCATGTTGCTGCTGCAGGGAGACGACATGGCGCGTGAGCTCATACTAGCACCTCATTCATCCAAAAATCCAAACTTCTAGCAATTTTCCCCCTAATTTCATAAATCATTTACAATTATAAAGATCAAATGTTAAGAGCTTGGGTGTCATCCTTGTCATACAAGCAACATCACTTGATCTGCCCATTTTCACTTTGCAATATCGCCTTTGTTCCTCTCTCCCCATTCTGCATCTTTAATCAGCTACTGAATCAATTACAGCAACTCACTCCTGTATGGTCACCCTCAAAAACCCTCTGTGGCAGTGTGAGCATCCTGTCACAGTGTCCCGATTGATCATGCTCCCTGGCTACTTGGCCAAGGGGATGTCCCTTTGGCTGACTGGTTACTGCACATGACTCTCACCCGGGAGTCTGGGGATTGAATCCTGCCTGGGCCCTCGTTCCCCCACCTTGCCACATTTGGCGTTGTTGACAGGATTCATGTAGTACTGTCAAGTAGGTCCATGGATGTGAAGTTTGTGGCACCCTGCGCGGGAGCACGAGGATGTGCTTGTGGAAAGAGGGGGGAAGATGTGGAAGTGTGAGCATCCTGTCACAGTGTCCCGATTGATCATGCGCCCTGGCTACTTGGCCAAGGGGACGTTCCTTTGGCTGACTGGTTAGTGCGCATGACTCTCACCCGGAAGTCTGGGGATCGAATCCTGCCCGGGCACTCGTTTCTCCACCTTGCCACACCTCCACAAGCTTCAGTTGTCTCAGAACTCTGCCGCACGTTACGGGTTATCACCATCACTCTTCTAGCTCACCACATCAGCCCAGTTCTCCACTGGCTCCCTGTTGAACGGATCAAGTTTAAAGTCCTACTCACATCCAAAAGCTGTTCACAATTTTTTTCTCCATATCGATCTGATCTTATTCACTTTGTTTCTCCAGCCTGCTCCCTGAGATCGTCATCCTCTGTCCACGTTACATTTCCATCCTTCCGTCCTGCCTCCATGGACTTCAGATCCTTCAGTTGCTCTGCTCCCTTCTTCTGTGCCACAAGCCACCAGGAACTCTGATTCTCTCTTATTCACTTTCAAATCTAAACTTAAAGCTCATCCCTTTAAGACAGTTTATGAGTTTGTGATGAGGTATAGGTCGAAAACTTTCACACTTTCCCATAAGCTATTGCGATCAGTAACTTCACCATCCCTTTCTCTAGATGCTGAAACAAATGGGTTTTCTTTACTGAGGTTCATCACTCTAGATTTTTTTCATTTAGGACATTCCACAGAAAAGTAGCTCAAATTAAAATGTGTTTTTCTTCATGTAATAATATGTTCCTCTGCTTCTAATTTAAATGCAGATCAGTGTTGAGAAGTGATTAAAACAGCATCCCAACCCACTCAAGTGTTGTTTGCAAATACTCCTGAGAATGCAAATAGAAAAGATGACTTCTGCTGCTTATAGCATGTCTGTCCTACAGAACATGCATTTTAATGTGCAAGTATCTGTTCAGTCATGTGATTGATGGTCACAGACAAGGTGCTGATTCCTCCAGATTCTCAGGGTTGCTGTGGATCTGTTTCACTGCAGACTCAGATTGATAATCTGATAGCCTGTGCCGGAGACAGGTGGGGTAACTGGTATTCAGGCCTGATTTAGCCCCGTGTGTGGCTGAAACAGATGTAAATAAGCTTTTAAGCTTCCGATGGAGAAGCAGCATTCTCCGGGGCTCATCCTGAACTAAGCTGAAGATTCAGTCTCGTGCCTGTTATTTGAGAGTGAGGGGGGTGATTTGTAACAGTGACCCCGATGTGCTGATCTTCTGTCCATCACGGCTCAGTTTAGAGCCTGAAATACGCTCGTCTCCCGGAGGCTACAGCCTCAGAGTCTGAGCGGCTGTCATGAATCTGCTGAGACTCGATAACAAACCATAGCTACGAGCTCTACTTCTTTTAAAAATAATACCAGACCAAAATTATTGAAGGCAAATTTGTGTTTGATTTTAAAAAGATATCTGTCATGTCTTATGTGTGTGTGTGTGTGTGTGTGTGTGTGTGTGTGTGTGTGTGTGTGTGTGTGTGTGTGTGTGTGTGTGTGTGTGTGTGTGTGTGCGTGCATGCGTGTGTGTGTGTGTGTGTGTGTGTTTGTGTGTGTGTGTGCGTGTGTGTGTGTTCCTGAGAAGCAAGTGATTGTTGCCAGTGAATTACAGTTGCCATGGTTTCATGTGTTTTGATCATTCTTATATAATGTTATTGGTGACTGGTTGCTGTGAGAAATGAGCACACGCGCTCACTTGCAGCTTGTGTCAGTAAATGTTACAAACCACCCCCACGTTCTTGTCCTTCCTCGAAGAGAGCAGCCTAAGGACAAGCAACAGCTCCTCTCACATCATCTCTTTCTCCCTCTCTGTATATTCATCACCACCCTCTCTCCTCTCTCTCAATCCATCCCTCTTTTATCCTCCTTTTGGCTTTTTTGTCACTGTTCTCTTTCGTTTCCTGCCCCAGTTCTCCTCATCCCACTTTATTTCTCACCAGTCGAAGCTGTATTGATTTTCCACAAAGCCTTCCCTGTAATATCTCTCAATACACACACACTCCATCTTCCCTCGCACCTTGCAGAGTTGTTTTCGTTTTCACATACACGAAGGGATCCCTCCCCCTCTACGACTGTGTCTCTAGCAGGCTCACACTGAAATCCCATCCAGGTTTGATTATTAATAATCTCCCCTTTCTACTTCTCTGCCCTTTAAAGCATGCTGTAAATATAAACTGTGTCCCACTCACCTCTGAAATTCCTCCTGACACACTTTTTCATCTCCCTTCTCTTCACCTCTCTTTTTAAATCAGAGCTTTGACTGAGACTTTCTGTTTGATGTCACACACTCTGTCTCCGACTGCCTGCTGCGTCCTCTGAGTGAGGCGGTGTGTGTGTGTGTGTGTCTGAGGTGCCTTCGGGGCACTGCAGAGCTGCAGACTGGTTGTAGAGCAAATCGCTGGAAATGTCTTTTACTTTATGATGATATCACCGAGAAACACAACGTTTGTGCAGTAAGGGTGCCATAATGTAGATTTATATCTGAAACTAGATATGGTAGAAGTGTTATTGTGGAAGCAAGGAATACAGTAAAATATACACAATCTGTGTTGTAGCTCTGTGAATTTGTGAGTAAAAATACCTATATTTATTATTTCAGACTTTCTTAAATGAATTTTCTTGAAATTTTATAAAATATAATTAATTTTACTTGTTATTGCTGTTTATTTCTCAATTTAGAGAAATAGAGATTAGCAGTGAACAGACTGGGTCATTTTTAAAAATAAACCTTTTATGTAACTATGTGAAGGTTTTTGTTTTTTACAAAGCTTTGCTAATCTTATCTCTTAAACTTAGTCACATATAAAAAGCTCTTAATGGCAACTTCTGTTGAAAAATCCTTCATATGTTAAAGAGACACCATGTGGCTTTTTTGTATTTTTGAATCCTTTTCTTGAGCCAGTATATGTCAAAACGGCCCTTTACGGGGTTAATGCCACAGCAAGTCATTTTGTCCAACAATTGCACAAAAAATATCCAAAAAAGAATACACACACACAGAGACTCAAAATCCCAGACCGAGGCTCTACTGAGGCCTTTCCATGGAGCTAGCTCTGCGGTCACGTAGGTCTGATGCTCATTAATTATACAGACTTTTAGGCTTTTAATACACTTAAACAGAAGAGTGAGAAAAAATTCACCCCCCTCAGAGTTGTCATGAGTGTAAAATAGATCATTTAAACAAAAACATGTTTTGGAACCAGGCTGTAAACATGCTTTTTTCGCTGTGAAATTTGTATTTTTAACATGGTAGTCAATGAGGATTTGCCCCCTTCTGACACCAGCCCCCAGCGGATGAGGGTGGAACTGCAATTTTTGTCATTTCTGCGTTGGCCTCAATTTTTCACCCACATTGTGGGGGCTTGGGTAACACAGATACACAGAACAAACAACCACACACACACACACACACACACACACACACACACACACACACACACACACACACACACACACACACACACACACACACACACTCACACCCCATGACCGTGCCCTGTCTGGGTCATGGCCAGACTATGTCTTGCCATTTATATGATGACTAGCCAGGCTATCTATATTTTTTAAGTGAAAATACAACAATGATCTTTTAGCTGAATTCATAATTAATTCTTGTTTTAAATTTCTTTATTGATAAAAACTTCTTCCAAATTTTATTCCATAATCATTTTTATTGAGCAATTGAAGTGAAGATCACAATTCAACAATGAGCATCTTATAAATAAGACAGATCATATTTTCTATTAAACAGAGGGGGAATTTATTCCTGCTTCAGTGCCAAAAAAATACATTTAAGTTTCTCACAGTATTCTGAAATGCTTTCTTATTCAAACTGACGTCAGGAACCAGCAGTGGTGGCAAGCCTCCCTGCTGCGTCTCCTCACTTCTTCGCTGTCTGGGAAGAGAATATTGCACTTGAACGCCCGGCAAAGATGACTTACAATGTGTAATCTACGTCTGCACAAGAGGACACACTGTAACTCTACACTTCAGGATGACGCAGGAGGATATACATTATTCAGGAAGATAAAAAAACGTGGAAAACAATGTTTGTAATTTTGACTGTTTTAAGGACCCAGTTCTGGCTCAGTTGAAAGGATGCATAGATACGTAAATCCACTTTTCTGGAGAGGAATGAAAAGAAGCTCACAAAAATGAAAGCAAGACTTTGAAGTCAGAGAGCCTTTTTCTGTTTCCTGAGAGAAAGCTCTTTTTATTTTTTGTGTTTTTTATTTATTTTATGTTTTTATCACAGAACTACTTTCATTATTATTATTATTATTATTATTATTATTATTATTATTATTATTATTATTATTATTATTATTATTATTATTTAGTTTGATCTGTTTCTTGGTTGTAAACATCCAACTGCTTTGAGCTGGCCGACATGGAAAACAACAACAGAGTTCGATTTCTGCTTCCGTCTGAATGACTGAACCTGTGAGATTTGTCGAGAAGAAGTGACGTTGTTCCCAACACCTTTTGCAGATTCTGTCACCCTGGTAACCAGGCAGGCGGACTGAACACAAAGGCCAGCATGAGCATGACTTTATTGAAATATAAACACATAAAATCCATTTAGTGATGCAGTTGGTAGATGTTTGGACATTTCTTGTGTTGAAGTGTTTGGCTGGTCAGATATAAAAAATCCATTATGGTGTAAAATAAAGATGGGAAAAACAATCTATTAAAAAGAGACTTTTCAGGTGATTTTAAGCACATGGCAAGACTAGAATTACTCTAGAAAAGACTTTAAGTTTGGTATCCATTAAACATTTTTAAGCAATTTTACAGCATTGTTTATGTTGGAAAATTTGAAATCTTTTACAGATTACAATAACGTTCATTTTCAGACCTTGAAAGCATTGGTGGTGGCTGGAGAGTCATTTGTCAGATGCGCTAATTACATATCACCACTAGGGAGCGCCAAGCTACCATTCTTATGCATTACGCCAACACATTCTCACTCCCAGCGTGTCAAAAACAAACGCTTGGTCAGCCACCCTCCACGTCAGACCCCTGACGCCAAAAGTGCCCTTTTTCGTTACTTATGTGCGAAAAGGGGTTTTTCCCTTATTTGACTGCAGATCCCAATGCAGCGTAAAACTGACGTGATGGGATGTCCGCTACCATTGCATCCCAATGCAGCGTTACACTGATGCAATGGGATGTCTGCAGCCAGGGCACCAAACAAGCTCATTGTACCTCACCTTAACCATATCCTCTTATTTAACCTTCCCCTCACCCCTATCCTAACCTTAACCATCTTGCTAGCGAACACGTTAGTGATGTGTCGATCGCTCTAAAAGCCGGCTCTATGAAGTGAACGGTGGGAGCCGCCTCGTCATTGGTCGAGTTTGGACCGAGCCAACACGAGGGGGAGGTTTCAACTACCACGGTGGAGGTTAAAAGTAGAGGGTATGTGTAACCTCCCCCTCGCCAGATGGTATGTTCTAACGTTCCCCTTGGGCGGCAAATACAAAAATTGACAGTAAGACTCTGACTGTCAGAGTCAGAATGCATGGGAAACAAACGCTTGATCACAGTCAGTGCGTTTACATGCAGCCAGTAACCCTTTTAAAACCCGAATATTCACAATAACCCGGTTCCGCAGGTCCTTGTAAACACTGCCAAAAACCCGGATATGCTCATAACCGGGTTTTTAAAAACCCGGTTACTACACCTGGGGTAACCCTTTTCTAACCCGAATGTTTGGTCGTGTAAATGCATACCGGGATATCCCCATCAAAGCGTGTGGTCTGTGCATGCTCTGTTCGCAAGGAATCTTGGTCTTTTGAGTAGCGAGACGTCTTGTATGCGCCAGAACACCGGAAGTAAACAACAAGTTGGGGGCAAAATGGCGAGTCGCGGCACAGCACCAAACTTTGAGTGACGAGGAAACTAAAGCGCAAACTAACGCGGTCACCATCTCTTCCGAACATGTTGTTGTTTTCACAGATACTGGAACAAGAAGAACCGGAAATGACGCATATTGCGTCTGGACGTAGTCCATACGTCCTGACGCTACCCCAACGTCCGCATTTAAATCGGGTTATGCAAGTTAGGGGTAACTCTTTCTATTTATGCTTGTAAACGGGTTATTCTGATCAACTCAGAAACCCGAATACCGACCTTAACCCGATCATAACCCGGATATTGGCTGCATGTAAACGTACTCAGTGAGAGTAACGTTTTAGGTAGCGAGAGGGTTAAGGTTAGGATGAGGGAGTGGGGAAGGTTATAAATAGTGAAACGTTAAGGTTTAGGTGCGTTAAATGAGCTGGTTCGGTGCCGCATTTAAGGTTTAGGTGCGGTTAAATGAGCTGGTTCAGTGCCGCATCAGTGGATATCTAATCACGTCAGTTTTATGCTGCATTGGGATCTGCAGTTGCAAAAGGGAAAAAACCCTTTTCGCACATAAGTAACGAAAAAGGGCACTTTAGGCATCTGGGGTCTGACGTGCAGGGTGGCTGACCAAGCGTTTGTTTCCGACGCTTAGGGTGTGAGAATGTGTTGGTCACGCACAGGCCCCCATAATTATATAATATTAATGAGCATCAGAGCCACGTGACTTCAGAGTTAGCTCCGGAGAAAGGCCTCAGCCTCACATTAACAGATTTCGGTCATTTCGACTCTCTGAACTTTAGTTTGGTCTGTGTGTGTTTGTGTTCGTATTTGGATGTTAATCATGGAATTATTTGGACAAAAGAGCTAGCTGCGGTTACCAACAGATCTTCCAAGCAGTTTCTGCTTCTTTTTATCAGTAAGTAAATTTATATTTTTGTACTTTATTTCATTGTTTGAATGGGGGAATGCTGTGTCATTTAACTGCTTGGTCAAATATGTTAATGGGGCTGCATAAGAACCTTGAGCGGGTGCCCAGCTTCTCCTGTCTCCTGCCTGAGAATAGCAGGCAGCGAGCTGTTCCCATTTCCGGGGGCAGCCGGACCTGCTCAGAAGCGAGGCTGTAGTCACGCTGGTCAATGGTGGATCTCTGGGGGAGACCACAGAAACACCACAACTCTTTGTGTTGACGTTACGTCACTTTTCAATCGCTCAACCGCATATTTCTCTCTGAAAACACCCGGAAAAACTCAGTTAGCTTCGGGTTAGCATGTAGCTAATGTCCTGCTGATCTCCGGCTCCCGGAGATGGTACCATCAACAACGGCGGACCCGCGGTGGACCAGCAAAGCCCGACATCATTGGTCGGCTTACCTTGTTATGATTTTGTCACTAAGCAGGCCGAAGGTGCTTGTACGTTGGAGTCGCTCTACCGCATTTTCCTTGCAAAAAACGCCCAGAAAAACTCCATTACCTTTGGGTTAGC